GCTGGCTGGGGAATTCTGGGAGTTGAAGTCCACCCATCTTAAAGCGGCTGAGGTTGAGGAACCCTGCTTTAAATGAATAGACTGAACTGTTTATGTGTGCCTTTTCCACACTAGTATCCACAACTCGGATGGGCTTATGAAATAAGTGAAACAAGCACCAAACTTGGGAATTCTTTGTCTGCTCAGACTCCTTTTCCTGTCAGTGGGACCCCTGTGAAATTCTGATCACGTTTAGTGGCTCAGACATGCAAAAATGGAGGACATTTTTGCAAAACCCTTTTCACAGAAATGCTCATAGGGCTACCAGATCTGCTAAAAGCCAGCTAATCCCCAGATCACTGCAAAGAGCTCCAGAAAATCCTAACTGTTTGCTATCATCTGGTATTTGTTTATATTTTTGCAGCCCAGATCTGGTAAACCCTTAAGTTAGGCCATTTTTCTTGACTAGCTGGACGAATTCCTTTCCATGACATCTTCTGTTTGCAATATTGAACTAGGATCCTAAGGTTTCTTGACCCTCGGCTACAAGACAGACTGGCTGGGTTCACGTATTACACTCAACTGTGTGTGTTAAACCATGGCTTTCTGATTAATGTTGTAAACCACCAGGAGACACAATTGTTGAACGCAGTGGTATGCAAACACAATACATAAGTAAAATAAAAATAAAATCCCTCCAGAGATTAGGTTGGCCCTGACTTGGCTGGCCTTTGTAAGGTCCTAAAGACCTGGCTCTTTGCTCAGGCTTGGGGTCCTAAGTGTGTGAAGGGACCTGTCTCCTGACTATCTGGATGATGGCTTGTTTTCTCAGTGCTGTGTATTTTAATTTTTGTATATGTATTTGCTTTATTTTTATTATTGTTCGCAGCCCAGAGTCATTGTCGAGATGGACAACTATATAAATTGATTGATTGATTGATTGATTGATTGAATAAATAAAGCTAACTACTTCACATTCATCCATAAGCTATTTATTTATTTATTTATTTATTTTATTTTATTCATTATTAAATTTGTATGCCGCCCATCTCCCCCCAACGGGTGACTCTGGGTGGGACCTGAGCTATGATTTATAAACCACAATGGCTGGGTCCAAACTGATCCAAATAAAACCACACTTTTGTAAATTCAGCCATGACTGCTTATAAAGAATGGTTTAGAGTTTAGCACGTAGCATGAACTCAACCAATGGTGATTTGTTGAATTAACTCTGTTTAAACAAACCAAGCTGAATGCCACACAGGAGCCATTCTTGTCCAAGAAAGATTCCAAGAAAGAGGAAGGTTTATTTATCCGGAGCCAGAACTGGGCTACATTCTGTGTACAATTCTAATACTTTGGCAAAAGAAAGGCCTTGTCCCACGGAACAAAATGGCTTTTCATCCTTTGGAAGCTGCCACAACTGTCCCTTGCCGCTTCATCACAACTAAACCTGACAAGTGTCACATGTGTTTCCCAGAGACATGTCCTTGGCAATCTGTCACTCTGTCCCCTAGCAACACTTCTATGCTCTTGTACTTCTCCACTTCAACTCAACACAGCAGGCTGGAACTTTAATTGCAAATGTGGCCGTGCCCCAGAAATGGGATGCTGGACAAACATGAGAAGAAGAGAAGAGAAGAAGGGAAGGGAAGGGAAGGGAAGGGAGGAAGGGAAGAAGGATCTCAGGATGCCTGGTCGAGGGACAGAACAGGCAAATGTGGAGCTCGTTTTGAATGGCATTGGCACTCATTTACTGCATTTATGCCAATCAATATCCTGTAGGAAGAAGATACAGAAAAACCATATATCTTTGCTTACAAGGATGAACAACTGAACACTTTTTTTAAAGCTCTTTGGGTCCTTCCCTACAATTTCCCTCCATCTCCTCCCCAGTCTTTAATGCTTTTAATGGTGGAAGCTTTCAAACTAACTGCTTTCAAAAAGCAAAGGATGTCTAAATTATCTGCACATTTTACAATTATTTTGCAAATTCTTGATGCCGCTCCACCATGGTGACCTCTGGCACGACAATTCTCCCTTCCCTAGTGAGTCCCTATATTTAGAAAGGATTACTTGCTCTGCTCTACCCAAGCGCCAGTTTGTCAGACAGAAATCGTTCAGGATAGATTTAATGTTGCCTTTGATTACTAATGCTAATTGATATGAATAGTTTCCAGGGAGTGAGCTGAGCGAGCAAACAGAGAATGCGAACAGGAATTTGCCCGTACAGTTCAGCAGGCAAATTAATGGGGTATCCTTAATACATTTTATCTCTACTTGGCTAACCTGAGAAGATTGAAAAAGATAAAATGGGGGTGGGGGGGGAGACTTTATACTGGTAGAACCTTAAGAAAAAGAAATGAAAATGAAAGTACAGAAATCTGTCATTGCAATTTTTGTGCTCCTGCCTCCAAACAATCATTATTTGCAGTAAATGGAACCTTGCAACTATGTTTGGAAAAAAAAAGATTGTACTAGTACATTGTCACAATTTACTGATGAAAATGATAAATATTGATCAGCTCTACAGTGGAAGCTGAAGGTGGTAGCAATTGTTGATAACACAATGAAACAGAGGAGCAAAACTAGAGATATTCTGCATCATTGGTATTCAAGAACAGCATTCAGGATATCAACAGGCAAGAAAAAAAGACTTAAAAAAAAAAAAAAAGGAAAAGAGATACTGAAGAACAGGAAACAGAACAGAGGATCCCTGAATGGAAGCAGCTGTACTTTGCAAGAAGACAAAAGTTCAGATTGTTGGTGACTCATTACTATGAGGAAACAAAACAAATGTGTGAAGACCAGATCTCCTGGCTCGCAAAGCGTACTGTCTGCCAGGAACAAGGATCTAGGATGTGAGAGAGTATCTTCTAAAAGTTATCAAATCCACTGGCAATTTTTCCTTCCTGGTGATACATATAGAGGCAAATGAACAGTTACAACGATACCTCCCTTGACCCTGAAGGGAAGAGACTACAGAAGCGAGGGACATGAATGATCTTCTCATCCCTCTTTTCAGTCTGTGGAAATCAACTGGAAACTGAAATTATGAATTATCAGCTATGCA